TTAGTGACAACTGTCACAAGTTGTATTTTTAAATGATTTATATAGCAAACAATATTTGTAACGAGACAAGATTGTTTTATAAGCAAAAAACGAACATTATTTTAAAAAAGATGGCTTTTAAATTATTTTTTTAATTATAAAACAATAATTATTTACAATTTTATAAATTTACATTATCTCTGCTTATTAAGTTATCTCCTTTTTACAATATATAAGTTTTACAAATGTTTTTATAATATGTAACTTGTTTTTTAATATATAAGTTTTACAACTCGTTTTATGAAGACATGTCTTTATAAAACTCGTTTTATAAAGACATGTCTTTATAAAACGAGTTGTAAAACTTAATATATATATATTCAAAAAAATATAAAATCAAAAAACAAAAAAATATAAAACCAAAAAATACAAAAAACATATGCATATGTTTCTATTTTTTCCTTTTTTTCCATTTTATATTTTTTTGTATTTTTTTATTTTATATTTTTTTGTATTTTGTGTTTTTTTATATAAGGGCCGCTGTGCGAAAAGAAATCGTGAGTTTAAATAAGGTTTTACAAAATATAATAAAAATAAATTGCTATTATATATAATATTTTTTTATTTTTTTTGATATATATTTGACATTTGACATTTATATATATATAAAAAAAAAAGTTGCTATTTTTTGAAGAAAAAGATTTTTATTAAAACAAATAAAAAATTACAGGACGCTAATACTTTACTCTACGAATACTATAGATAACACTTATATGTTAAAATAATATATAATAAAATATGGGCTGGCAGTGATTTTCTAATCGTATATAACAATAAATTTTGTTGTATAAAAAAAAACATTGGCAGAGAAGAGGAAATCTTTACTAAACATACAGATCTTGCTATGAGCGGATGTTTTATTTTAGCTCATATGTTTAGTTTCAGATTTCCATTCTCTTCTTGGCAAAAAACGTTCTTAATACAAAAATATTGACAGAATATGTCCGCAGTGTTTCTACGGACATGATAATTATATATTAAAGTAATATTATTTCCTGATGTCCCTGATTATTTCCCTGATCACTGCCATTGGATCAATTTTTATGTTACTAAACTATGTTACTCATTATGGCTCGAATGAGCGTCAATAGCAGCTGCGAAATAGAGTTTTTTTCCGATAAATTCGCTGTTTCAATCGAGAAAATCGAATTTATTAGAGAAAAATTATTTTGGGATGTCAAGGAGTTATATACATTTTAAAATACTCCCATATTTCAACAGAAGGAAGACAGTAGGCAAAGATATGAATGTTGTCCTTAATTTTACCACAAGTTTTGTATTTGTTATTTTTAACAATCTGTTGTCTTGTGCTTTTGGCTAACAAGGCCGCAAAAGGTAGGCTGTTGTGTAAAAAACGAAAGAGGATATTTTGTGTCGGTCCGCATGCGTGGGAGGTAAAAATTTTTTTTTCCTAATTTGGGTCCACGGCACTGTTGTTTTTGTTGAACCGTTCCAGAAAAGTTCTGCTGGCACGACTTTCTTTTTGTTTTTTGCTACTTCTTTGATTGAAACTTTTACCACAGATTTTCGAAAGTGGCTGTGTGTAAACATTCTATTACCCAATCTGGAATGGGCAACACGTTTGCCAGAAACCACACTTTTGACATTGCTAGCGTATTTATCAACATAGTTTTTCCCCTAAATGACAAAGTACGTAGTCCCAGAAACTTGAGTTTTTTCTCTACTTTGTTTAGAGTTACTAGCCAGTTAAAATAGGTAGTATTACTCAGTCTGGTGTAAAAGCTAACAACCAATATTTTGAAACTTATGTTATTGTTCCACTCTATGTTGTCCAATTCTGGGTACATTTTAGGATCAAAACCCCCAAGAGTAAGACCATTGGTTTTTAAAGCATTTAATCACTAAATCACTTGCTTTTTCAAACAGTTTTACTTTTTCGAAGAAATAGCGGACAGATTTTACGTCCCTGGCAAAAAAGCTCGAACTGTCTGCGTACTTCTGTAATTTAAGGGGTTTCGGTGTTCCTGGTAGTGGGAAACCTCTATTTTGCTATCCGCTCTGACAACCAAAGCAAGGGCTTTGGCGACAAAAACGTAGAGCAGAAGAGAGAATGGGTTGCCTTGTCTGACTCCTCTTTCTGTAGGAAAGAAGACCGATAAAAAACCGCAATTCAGAACAGATGCCGAAACTTCTGAATATAAGGTGTTAATAAAGGATACAAAATTTTTTCCGAGATCAAATTTTTGGAGAATCTGAAGCAGAAACGCACGATCGACTTTGTCAAAAGCTTTTTCTTGATCAATTGATAAAATGAAACTAGGTAGATTTTTAAATTCCGCGTAATCTATTAGATCACGGACTAGATATAAATTTGATAAAATTGTTCAACCTGGAATTCCATTCCCATTCCCATTACTTTTGCAAGTCTTAGGGCCAGAGCTTTTGTGATTATTTTGTAATCAGCGCCTCCAATTTTTGCATTCAGTAAGATCTTCCTGTTTGGGAATCAGTGAAGTTATTGATTTTTTCATAGAGTGGCTGGTATTTTTTTCTAAAAATAGTATTTTGTACGCAAGTTCTTTGAAATCTTTTTCTAAAATGGGCCAAAAGGTTTTGTAAAATTCAGCTGGAATTCCGTCATATCTCGGAGATTTTCTGTTTTCTTATTTAAAAAGAGCTTCTTTTAGTTTCGCGCCGGTTAGGCGGGTATTAAAAATTTGGTTTTCATTATCACTTAAACGTTTAGTGATGTGTGAAAAGACATAGTTTTGACTGTCATTACATAATTTAGTTTTGGTGTAAATATTTTTATAATATGAAACCAGGGAGTTAAGTATTTCACCAGGTTCACTCGTCAATATTCCGTTATTTTTGCAAATTTCGGTAATTGACTTGTTTCTCTGTTGAGTTTTTTCCAAATTATGCAAAAATTTTAAAGGTTTTTACCCTTCTTCGATTAGTTTTTGTTTCGTGCGAATAAACGCTCAGAGAAACTGGAGCAAGAAAAGAGCATCACGTTTTTTCTTTGATGCTATCTAAATTCGGATTAGCGTTTTGTCGCTCCCGTTGGATTTCGTTTTTAATTCTTCTGATGTCTTTTTTGTTTTTTGCACTTTCCTGTATCGATATATGTTAAAACTCTACCCTAACAAAAAGTTTGCAGTTGTCCCACCATTTTAAAATTGACTTATAGGACCGTTTTTTTGTTTGCCAATCTTGAATTAAGAGTTCAATTTTTTGCCAATGCACTTCTATTTCCAAAACAGAAAAGTTTAATTTTCAGTATCCTGGTTCTTTCCTAGTTTTACTAAAATTGAGAGTCGTTGTTAGGAACTCGTGGTCGGAAAAGGGGTTGGTGAGAATATTGGTGTATTTTGCTTTTTTGGCGATTTTATCAGGGCAGTAGATTCTATCGAGTCTACATTTTACCTTCTAACTTCGTCATGTGAATTCTCTTTTGTTTGGAAATATAAAACGAAAAATATCTACAAGGTTATACTTACCCTGGAAGACCTCGAGTTCGTCAATGCCGTAGGTGTGATATTTAGCGTTGTTTGTGCCTTCTGCGTCGAGAGGCACACGCCGCCCTTTTACACACACCACTTTTAGTTCGTTGCAAATGACCAATATTTCGGAAAAACCTGTTCGGCTATTGCCTAACTAGCATAACGAAAAGATCTGGGTTTTTTTTCTTCTGAAATATCTGATTACCTTTTTTAATCTGTAGTGTATTTAAATGATAAAAATGATGATTTAATTTAAATGATAAAATTTACAACTTTTTTTTTTTTTTTAATAACTTGTCGTAACCTATTTTATAATAACTTATTATAAAATCAGCCAGAGGATGTAATAATTTTTTTGAAATAATAAATGTTAAATTTTATTTTCCGAGTTCGTTCAGTATGCATGAATAATGGTTAGTTGATATTATTTTATCCTAAGGTTTTTTATGATAATTTCTTTTTCCTAAAATTTTCCTGTTTGTCTCTGTACAGTTTTGTAAGGAAAAAAAATATCTGATTAGGCGGGTAAATGTAGTAAATAAGTTGATTTATTTATAAGTTGATAAGTCTGGCAGAAACTGGTTTACACTGGTAGAAAAAAGAACAATGTTAGTAAAAATTTACATACTGCAGTATCTAAATTATGAGTGTTGAAGTTTTCAAACGATTATTTTCAGTTTCTCCCGTTTGTTACTTAAGCAATTTTGAAAAATATTTATAAGCCTATTTTGTATATTATATTTAAAATTTTTTAGCCTATTTAGCCGAAAAAACCAACAACTAATAAATTACCAATTTCTTAAAGCCCCAAAATTTGTCTAAATTTTTTAAAATTAGTTTTAAAAAGTATATAATAACCTAATTTTTTTTTGTCTGCATATAAGTTTAGGTTTAAAAAACAAGCATTTCAATTGAAAAGTTATTGTTATTTACAAGGCATATCCACCACCTTTGTATTGCTTACTGCATCTATTTTTTCCTTAAAAATATTTACATTTTTTGTGACATAATTTTTAATATGTTTTTATCCCTTATGAAAATAAAATCAATGTTATCTTAAATTAAAATGGTAATTAGGCAGAACTGTTATTAGGGTGAGATTCATCTGAAGTTTTGAAATAGTAAATAGTAGTTGTTTAATAATAAACAGCTACTGTTTACTTTTTTAGTTATATAAGTATTATAGGAAATTGTTGTTTTTATTTTATGTATATATATATATATATATATATATATATATATATATATATATATATATATATATATATATATATATATATATATATATATATATGTATGTATGTACAAATATTTTTGCCTTAGTTTACCTTGCATGAAATAAGCTTGATGATGGTCATACTAAAATAGCTATCACCTGAGTTTAAGTACAATGCACTGAATTACTTACAGATTTAATTTCATTAGTGGTGCATCTTGTGTAGCTAGATCTGAATTCATTTATCATATATTTATTACATGCATGTATTTACCTATATAATATTAACAAAAATTCTAACTTAGAAAATGTTAACATAATGGTTTTTCGTTGGTTCAGATCTCTTTTCTCTGCATCCAAAAAACTGATTGGCACAGATCATTTAGGAAACAAATACTTTGAGTATGAAAAAGGTATATAAGGTACAAATTTTATACACATTTAATACTTTTGTTTAACTTTTAAAGTTAATCACACATGACTTTTTAAAGTTTTCTATTCATGAAAAGGTTTTGAAATTTGTCAATAGTTAGATTAAAAATTAATAAATAATGATACCTTTGATTATTTGTTTTTATTTTAGACAAACTATTTTACACACTCTTACACAAACACGTATATTTATTTATTTTTTATTTGAAATTTCTTTTCATTTATATAACTTCCTGCCTTTAAGGAGTAGGTCTTCACGCACTTTTAATTTTAAAATTATCAAGAAAGGCGAATTAAAGTAGCAGAATTGATAAAAAACACATAAGAATCAATAAAAAACACATAAGACTGCCAATCCAAAATATCAAAGACGCATGTTTTTGAGCATAAAAAACAAATATGTGGTTGAAATCTCTAGTAAGTACTACCAAACAGACTGCTGATAAGTTTGTGTTGTACCTTGGATCCACTCCTACAGAAAGTAACACGATGGTATGTACATATGATGCTTTACAAGTTAAAAATAAGTTAAGTGTCAAAAGATAAGAACAAAGCATGAAGAATATTTATTTTTCTATTTTGTGTTGATTGCCTTATGTTAACAGAAGTATATCTGAAAGGTTTTTTAGTGCAAAGATAATTTCAATCTAGAAATGGCTACCAATCATTAATTGTCACTTTGTTCATTCAATTGTTGGTCTTTTAACAACAGCTCATTTGCAAATAAAAATTTCTGTATATCATTTGACTTGTTATTACAAGAACTTATTGTTGTGTGACCTCGATATACAGAATAATTTACATCCGGATTTCTATGGTGCTAGGTTCATTACATTCAGTAACATTAAATCTACATATTGGAAGGCTGTATGGAGGTACTGCAATATTATACCACAAAAGACTACCAATTTGTATTTAAATTTGTTGATTCATTCAAATTAAGAATTACATGTTTGCGTATTGATACCAATTTTGAACCTTAGGGTGCAATAGTTCAACAAACATGCAAACGTCTGCTAAAAAAAAGACGAACATCACATTTTTAACATTTTTTAATTTTCCTTACACAAATATTGGCGTTCGCCTAAAATTTTTCAAAATAAATGCATCCCTTAGGATTTTTTTTCCAAATAATTAAGTGGTTGATCGTTTTTTAGTTATTATAAAAAAAATACATAATTGCAATAAAAAACAATTAATTATAAAAACTTTAAACGTATTTTAAAGACTTCAAAATGCTAAAACTGCTTTTTTCAATGGAACCAAGAAAGTAATTATGTTCATGCATGCGTTTACAAGAGCATTCAAAATTTAACTTAAAATGACTGCATTTGCAATTACTTTTGAAAAAAGATATGCTTAAACATAACGATTGCTTTTCTCAATAGTTTTTTTTTTCCTTTTTTTTTCTTAAAGTAAAGTAATGTTTTTTTGTATATTAAAAAAACTTTTGAAAGTTTTAAATATAATTTTTAAGTTTTACTAAAAAATAAATCTAATAGAATATATAAAATTGTTATGTTTATTATAGTTTTAATTTTTTATTATGTAGTTAACAACACTAATAATATGATATTTTTATTCACTTTAAATACTGAATGTATAGTTATTAAAAAAACTAAAGTTTTTAAAAAATGTCAAAACAACTAAGTATCTTTTAAATTTTAAAGAAAGATGGTACAGTGGACCATATCTTTAAATACAAGAAGAAACTAAGCTTTTTCACATACTTAGTTTCTCTCTCTACTAAGAAGTAGAGAGAGAAACTAATCCAATGACTTGGATTGTGCTATGACTTGAAAAAAGAAAACGGTGTATATGGCCAAAAGATATTGAATTTATGTTTTAGAACATCATAAATGGATCGCTAGCAAGCAATAAAAAACACAGGCAACTACTAAACTGGATTCATATTGACAAATCAAATGAGTGTTTCTCTTGTTGGGACTAGTTGGGCCAAAAGTCCAAATATTAGCAATGCAACCAATTCAGTAACAATGGAATGTAAATTTTGGAAATGAACATACTTGTTACGCAAGGATCTTGCATTAAAAAGATTTTCTTAGCTGTGCAAGCTACAAAGACTAAATGGAATTATGTTGGGTAAGAACTACTTAAGTGGCAAAGCTTGGAAAAACTTTGTTTTGTTAATTTCATCTGACTTAAAATGTGACTTAAGTTTAGATGTATCAAATGCTTGTTTTATTGCAATTTTATCTGATGGCTCTACTGATAAGAGTATTAGTGAACAAGAAACAGTTTTTTTAAGATTTGTTAAAAATAGTAATCCAATAACTTTATTTGCTGGTATTAACTCACCACTGACAGTTGATGCTGGTGGTATATTAAATGCAATAGAATTTGTTTTAAAAGTTTTACAAAAAACAAAATGAATCAAGATTTATATTTAAACAATATTTATGCAAAAACTGTAAATGTTAACTTTGAATGTGTATCTGTGCACAAAAAGCTGGTGTTCAAACTAAAATGTAAAATAAAAACCCCAGTATAGTACACCCATATGCCCATTGCATAGCGCAGAGATTAGAACTTTCTGTGTTAAATTCAATAAAGTTTGATATTCTTTTAAAGAATTTTGATGACAGCATCAATAGTTTGTTTCGTTTTTACTATTATTTATAGCGAAGAAATGAACTGAAAGAAATGTTTGTAACTTTAATGAGCATAGTAATATGATAAGCAGAGTAACTTCTAACTTATATGTATTGCAGTTGCCTTTATTCAAAGAAAAAAAAAGGTAGAAAATCTCTAAACTAAGGACAAATTCACTTTTGAGCATTTATTTGAATTAATATAAATGTTTTGTTAGATAATATAAATGTTTTGTTAGCAAATATAAATGTTTTGTTAGAGATTATGCTAACTTTAAGCACTTCAACTGCAAGTTTTGAACGCAGTTTTTCTTGTATGAACTTACAAAAAAATGTTTGTGAACTTCATTAAATAACAACACCTTAAAAGATATTATGTGTATAAAACTCGATGGCCATTTAATTGAAAACATTTTGCCCCAACAACATGTCAAAAATTGTATTGACACAGCGGCTGGTATTAGACATTTGGAAGACCATAAATCAAAAAGTTCTAGCAATTCTTAAATCCATTTATATAAGTATAAAAATTAATATATACATTAATGAGACGTCATTTTGCAATTTATACTTCTTTTGTTCCTTTTATTTTAATTTCTTTATGTTTATACATATATTTTATGAGTAAATAAATTTAATGAACTAAATTGAAAAAAAAAAGTTTTGTTTTGTTGGATAATAGTTTACAATCATTGCATATTAATAATCAATAATTTGCGCGCAGTTTGCAAATGCATGAAAAATTGGCGAAAATATATCCAATAACATTAGTTAAAATAAAATTATTAAAAAAAAAAAATTTCTTATTTGACATGTTTCTCTTAAATTAGACGTTAGTCAATAATTGAAGATATGAACGTCAACGTCCATTAAAAAAAAAGATTTATTGTGCCCTGAACCGGGTCAGGGCAATAACATCCGTTTTTGCCATGTATAATAACATCCGTAAAACAACATCCAAAATTTCATTGATGTATAATAACATCCGTGCAACAACATCCCAAATTTTATTGATGTATAACATCCGTGCAACTACATCTGTAGATTTTTCGGATGTAACTACATATGATTTTTTTTTTTTTTTAAATGCATAATTTTAACCAGATGTAGCTACGCATCTGATTTTTTGCAGATGTAACTACATCCGCCAAAAAAAAATTATTGTAATGCATTCTTTTAAGCATAATAATTTTTTCTTTTTTTTTTTTATTTATTTGATAGACTGCCTGTCCAAACCTAACCCTCAGCCTATGTAGCAGCACTCCGTTGCGAGTCAGGCTATTTGTCAGTTGATGTAGCATCACTTACATAATATAATAATTATATATGTAACTTATAAATGTAACTACATCTAGAATTTTTTTTTTAATAATGCATTATTTTAACCAGATGTAGTTACACATCTGATTTTTTTCGAATGTAACTACGTCCCAAAATTTATTTTATTTAATAATGCATTATTTTAGGCGGATGTAGTTACACATCGAGAAAAACTCTCGGATGTAGTTACATCTTTCTAAAGATGTTATTAGACATCAATGAAATTTCGGATGTTGTTGCACAGATGTTAATTCAGTAAAGAAAAAAAGCGGATGATCTTACACAAAAATGTGCCGATTTCATTTCACTACTCCACGGATGTTGTTGGACAGATGTAGTAATCTTTTCCCCCCTGAACCTGTTCTACTAATGAATGTATAAATGACCCTTAACTACAATGATGAAAAGAGTCTTTATGTTTATATTGATACATGCTTAAACTTTAATGCTATTATTGTAGAAACAAACTTTGTGTAGTTTTAAATTTTATGAAGGAACAAGAATTTACTATGAATTCCCAAACCTTGCTGCCAAAAGTATTTTATTCAAATCTTATATAAACAGGTTGAATAATGTTTTTTTATATATTAGTGTTTATGGTAAAAATAGATAGATGGCTAGATTGTGTCTTATGCAGTAAAGTTTAAATTAATAATGAATGCTTCAGTATTAACAGATGTTATTGCATCAGACCATAGACTAATAATTTTTTCAATTTGTTGCTCAGTAAATAGCAAACCTGCTATAATAGATAGTGACCCCAGGCCTTGTTTTAAAGAGTTTTGAGTGGAGCTATTTATATATGCTTCAAGTAACTTTTTATAATTTTTTAACTTTAAAATTGTTCTATAAGCAGTAAGATAAAAGAAGTAATTAACTTTTAAAAAATCTCATTAAATTTTGAATGGCGTTTATGTAAAAATATTTGTTACAAAAGTTTGAATTGTAATTATGTTAGATATATGCGCTATTTACTAATAAAAAAAAACTCAAATAAAATTAAAAATCTATTTTGTTTTTATTTTATTGTAATGATTAATTTTTTCGCTTGAAAAATGCTAATACTTTAAGCTTGAAGCAAAGATCATAATAATATAATTTAATTCTGATAAAAAATATATCTTTTAATTTAAAACTAATTTAATAAAAATATATAATTTTATTCTGATAAAAAAAAAAAAAATAATTTAATTTTGATTTAAAAAATATATGTTTAAGTTTATTAAAATTAAAGGTAATGCTTGGGTTGAACTTAACTGTCAAATTTATTTAAAAATATTACTAAATAGTGTTCAATATTTAAATTTTATTTGTTCTTAAAAAAAATTAGCTACTTTTTATCGCAATATTTTTTTCGGTTTTTTCTTTGTAAACATTTTTTTTTTTTACCCAAAAATAAATTTTAAATAAATGGCTGCATCAAAAATTTGCACAAAATGTAAGTTAAACTTTTTTTTATAACACTAGTTAAATGGCAGTGATTGTTTTTTAATATAATTTTAATAAATGATGTTTGGATAAATAATTTTTGCTTTCACAACAATCGTTAATAATATAATAAACTTTTAGTAAATAAAGTAAATTAATTACCATAATTATTTTATTTGTTACTCTCTAATTTTTTTAAACTAAAAAATCGGTTGTAGTCGCAATTAGAAATTTAAGAAATAATCATTTAAAAATTCAAAAATTTAACATATTTTTATTCATTTATGCAAATGTCAAGAAAAGAAAGAAATTTGGTAATATCAAACATTTTTAAAAATGTAATATTAAATTATATTATTTATTATAAAAAATATATACATATATATAAAATAAACATTACTTTATAGTATTAATAAAAAAGAAGTTAAATAACATTTAACTCATTTTGCCGTAATTAATATTATTGCAGTAATTTAAAAAGTTTATGTTTTTTAAAAATTAAAAAAATAAAGAGAATTTTATGACGTCAAATTCACATTAGGCTATTGTGTTACACATTTTTTATTTAAAACAAGGCCTGTGATGCTGCATCACCTAGAATGTGACCATTCTATTTTAATTCAATCAAAGGACTATTTACTTTAAAGTGTAAAAATACCTTCAAGTACTTTTAATAACTCTATATTTCACAAACCTTATGTTTCTTAAATTTATTATTTTACAAACTTATTTTACAAAAACATAAAATATATGCAATCTATGTATGTATCTAAATATGCAATATGGCTGACATAAAACCTCACAGTAGTTTTAAGGTAAATTCTGAATTAAATGTTCCACAAGGACATTGCCACATTGCTACTCTCTCGGTTGTTCTAAACTATTTGGAGGTATCTTATTAATTGAATTTTATGATAATGCTCACGATCATTAGTTTACTCCACAATGTCTTATGCATACCATTTTAAAAAGACAGTTGATTATTATGTTCCTAGAGGAAGCTATGTGTTCACATACTTTATAGATTTCGACAAAATGTTTGATAACATTAATTATTGGAAACTATTTTTAAATTAATTAATCAGGCTGAATTGATATATTATTTGTTGGTTTTCATAATAATATTTGACTTTCTATAATATAGAGTATAATGTAATATGCAAAAGTTCTGTCTATATACCCTTATTAAGTAAAGTAACCCATGATTTTACTCTTTTATCATGACTTTTTTTTGTATATATTTTATTATAATCAATATTTCATCATTTTTTAAACGTTATGTTACAGTTTCTGGTAAAAAAGTTCGTTCTTTTGAGGCTGCTTTAAAGCATGAAGATTACAACTCTGGTTTTCTACCTCCAGAGTGGGAAAGTATTTGTTTTATAATTCAAATTTTTTTTTTGATTTGTATTTATTTTAAATATAAAACATATATTTACTAATGGGTAATGCTTACATACACACAGTTCTAATTTATACTTCACAATTTAGTCTTGGCAAATTGTCGAGAAATATAGAAGAGATTTAAAAATTATATTTTTGCTGTAATATTTTTTCATACATAGATACTGGCTGCTGAACTTAAACTTTCAGTTTATGTATATACTAAAACTATATATGAATGTGTGTATATGCATATAAACATGCAAAGAAGTTACTGTTAGATTGACTAAGGATTTAAGTTGGATATTTTTTCCATTACTCTTTCTTATTTTCTTCTTTTTGCAATCCAAACTGTATAGTTTTTTAGGTCATATGAAAAAAAAAAGTTGATTAGGTTGGCAAAATAATAATTGTAATAATAGTAAAAAGTGTGTTATTCTTCAAGTGGTTTGAATAATTAAATAATTAAAGTTTTATAAACCACACACCATTCTCCATTCACCACACACCATTCTCCATTCACCACACGCCATTCTCCATTCACCACACACCACTCTCTTTCTTACTCTACACTCTATACACCATTCTCACTTTGAATGACAGTTATGTAAAATATTCTTGTTATTTACAAATAAAATTTATGAATATGCTAACTTTTAAATTAAGTTTAATTTTTTGATTGGAATAATCAGGAACAAAAGCATAATTACTTTAATGTAAATAAATTAAAAAATTTGAAAAATACAAGCCAAAAGAATAGTCTATTTACCAGTGAAGAAATGCAAACAAAGTTTGAAGCACCTAGGCTATGTACATATTTCAATTAATCATTCTAAAAATGTCAAATGATACATGAAGTTAGTGTTGTAGAAGAATATAATCGATAGCAGTAGGTAATTTGTGCAGATGTTGAATTTTTTACTTGGCCAACAATATGGATATGCAAAATACCCATTCCTAATATTTTAAACAACCCGTTTAACAATGTCGATATGCAAAGTATCCATTCTTAATGTTTTAAATTTTTTTTTTTTTTTTTTTTTTTTTATTTTAATTCACCTCCTCAAGGCCGAGAAGGCCACTACAGACGAGGAGGCTACTTATTAGTGGTTATAACCCTCTCTCAACTCTATAACTCCGAAACACGAACCTTGACGAACAAGGCCGCTGCGCGGAGAAACAAGTTGAGTGCGGTACTACCAGGGGCGTGGTGGGGATCGAACTTGGAACCACTCGTTTATGAAGCGAGCGCTCTACCACTACACCACTACCGCAATAACCCATTCAACATTGTGGTTATGCAAAATACTCAGTCTTAATGTTTTAAATAACCCATTCAACAAAGTGGTTATGCAAAGTACCCATTCTTTATCTATTAAAGAGATAGTGAAGCATATAGGAACTTGAAGCATTTTTGATGGATCCCAAAAGAGAAAACTTACTGATGTTAAAATGACGTTAAATCAGTTTGGTTCCTTTTTTATCTGTTGTTTAAAGATAACAAAGCTAAAATGAACATCAGTTTCTTTGCATCCATTTAAATTGATTTCAGATTTTAGTGCGTTCAAGTTATACAAAATTATATCTGATATTATAAATAACATATATGTTTATAGTTGGTAATTAATTTTATTAAACTGACATACTGTGTTTTATCATACAGTAAGATATCAGAGACAAAGTTTATTACATCTTATTTAAGGTTATTGTTAATTTTGTAATAAGAGTTAATTGCTAAGTTGTTTTTTGTCAAAATGCTGTATATTGTTTTACTGAAAGTACGACTGACTTTTACATACTAATTTTTTAATTTTATTAAAACACAGCATATAAGTATAGATCATGAATTTGTAATTTTTTCAGGTGTGTATTAATAATGTTGCATGTATTGCTGATTTGTTTAATAAAATTAAGAAAAATTATAAAGTCATTAAACTTAACAATCAAGATCACAGAAAAGTTTTAACAACAACACAAAAAGTTTCAACATCAAGATAACAGAAAAGTTTCAACAACAACACAAAAAGTTTCAACATCAAGATAACAGAAAAGTTTCAACAACAACACAAAAAGTTTCAACATTAAGATAACAGAAAAGTTTCAACAACAACACAAAAATTTTCAACATCAGATAACAGAAAAGTTTCAACAACAACACAAAAAGTTTCAACATCAAGATCATATACAGAAAAGTCTTGTTTAAACAACAACACCAATTTTGTTTGAAAAAAAAATGCATAAGTTTATAACTTTAAAAATATATTTGACTCTTTCATGGTTTGTTGTGAGTTGATCATAATTGGTTTCTGATTAATGTAATTGATATTTAATGTTCTATGAATTAATAATCTGTTGTAATATGTTGTTAAGAATTTTTTTTTTTTTTTTTTAAAGCATGGCTTAGCTGGAGATCCCATCATCCACCCACTGTTGAGGTAGTGTTTAATAATATTTATTTAGTTTATTTATAATTAAAAAAAATTTGATAGTATGAAGTTGTTATTATAAATAATAAACAAACCATTATAAATGATATAACCTACACTTTAAATTTTTTTCAAATATGCAAATGATATCTATAGTCTTCTTTTTTATTATAAATTTTTCAAACTGTGTTTCAAACTTGTTATTATTGATAAACAACCCAATTATTTTATTTTATTTATGCCTCCACATGTTAGTGTTCTTTTCATATTATAAATAAAAGTATTTAATTTTAGTAACAATTATTAATTTAACAGCTTTTATTATAACAATATAATTATTATTACTAATAATAAATTATTAATAATAATAAGTTATTAATGATGATGAAAGGTGGCATGTTCTTACTTCGTCAAAATATTTGTTTTTCTTATGTAATAAAAGTTTAGCTAAACAAACTCTTGTTTAATTAAAAATAAACAGGTGCCTTTTTTCTAGCATTAAAAGTTTAGAAAGAGAAACTTTTGTTTCATTGACATCAAACACAAGTCTTTTACTACTTATGTTTATAGAATTTCTATTTGCTGCTTGATTTATCAAGCATTTATTTAATATTTGATTTTTTATAATTGCTGTCCATGTTTATGATCAGTACGCAAATAGAAGAGAACTAACTATCGGTCATGCTGTTAGACAAAATTTATGGTTGTTTATTGCCTCAGCATACCAGAATGTTTAAAGTTTTCTAAAATTTAGTTTCTCAATCTACTTTATGAAATCACCAATTGCAAAACTAGAACACATGCCCCATCCATATCAAAATTAGAAATATAAGTTGACTACATCATCAGTTTTATTTTTGTTGATAATTTAATGTAATAAAAAATAACAAAATTAAACTTCAGAAACAATTATAACAGAAACATATTTATCATATATTACAACAGTTTACTCCTGCCAATAGTTTGCCCAACCACCACTAATAACAACAAGCATGAAAATATTATCCGAATACCATAAACATTTAAGTTTTTTTGCAATAATAAATGTTTATTTACAACAAATTTAAATTTATTTTTCTAAAAAATCTTTCATTGACATTTAATATACAAATTTGAAGTCAAAAATAAAATTATGATATCAGAGAATATTAAAAGTGAAGAGCATTTTTTTAAAGTAATTTTGAATATTAGAAAACGTTTATATATAATCATATTACAATGTTTTTACTGGGCAAAATTTATTATTTATTGGTCTTTTGTTGGAGATTGAGAAGAGAATTACATATACTCTTTTGTTATAGGAAATTGAGAAGAGAATTACAAATACTGTTTTGATTAAAAATAGAGCTGCAATAAAAGCAAAAGCAGATGACGAGGTAAAGTTATGTTTAACCAGTTTAAAATCACAATTAAATCATTATCATCATTATTATTATTATCATCATCATCAGTATCATACAGCCAATGCTGTAGCACTGTGTATTGCATGTGTACCAAAGCTGTGTGTGTGTGTTGCATATGTACAGTGTAGCGTGTTGAATATAAACATATCTTATTATATTTATCAAATTTTTTTTTTTTTTATAAATCTATTCATTAAATAGTTAATATTAACAAATTACAAATTTTTTTTACAAATTTACAACAAGCGAAATTCAGCTTTTTTGGCCTTTTGGGCTTAACTCCGAAAATTTACCTTGGCATTAGGTTGGCAACATTTTTACAACTGAACCAAAGTTTTTCATTTTTAATAAATTATTTTATTATAATTTCTTGAATGAAAATAAATGAAAAATGATTTTTATTACATAATATTATATTTGGTTTTAGAGATGGTTTCTCTTGTAGTTTTTTTTTACTAGCCTTCCTTTCTGAAAGTTGCTAAATAACTTTTTTATACCAAATCTATATTACTTGATGACTATAAAAATATAGTTTTTTAAAAAATTTTCTTAAATATAACTTTGCCACTATTTTGCCGAGGCAATTTATCAAAATACTACAAAACCCTTAGCAAAAATCTCTGCATATGCCGAGTGCCAAGGTTAATTTTGCAAGCTGAATATATATTTTTAAGATGTTGTACAGAGGCTAAAATTTTTTGAACAATTTAAATGATTTTCATATTCAACAAATATATTTATATATAAATATGATGACAACATATTAAAAGTGTTAGCTGCAGGGGCTTCAGTACATACATCAACTATCTTATAGTCTGCTGCCACAAAGGAGTGCTGCTGCACCAACCAAGGTGGTTTTTTTTTCATTATTCTTTGTTTTTTTTGTTCTTTTTCTCAATAATTTAAGTGCGCATTTCTAGATAAAGAGCGCAAAAAGGATAGTTGGAAATTAGGAATGTATTGTTTGTGATACAACTTACTTAAACTTATCTTTTTAAAAACTTTACTTTAAAAAAGAAATCTTAACGAATGAGAAAATAAAAAAGCTTAACTAAAGCTAAAACGCACAAATATATATATATATATATATATATATATATATATATATATATATATATATATATATATATATATATATATATATATTAGGGTGTCCCAAAAAAAAAAAATTTTTTTTTTCCTTTAGTTTTGTGTGTAGTTTTGTCCGTTAAAAGTGAAAATAAGAAGATTTTTGAAAAATTTTGAAGTTTGACCCCCCCGCCCTTCTTTTAAAGTTTTTACCCCCTCTGCCGCCCACTTTTTCAAAATTATTCACTTTTAAACTGATTTTAGGCTAAATATATAAATGTATTAAATATGTTTTGTATCAATATTGATCACTATTATAATTCTAAACTATGTATCATAGCTAATATTAGTAAATATAATTTGTTTCAATTCAACGATTCTCAAAAATTATTAAATATTATTATTCAATGCTTGAGATGAGAAAATTTTTTATGATGAATATTAATGTTACATACATTATTCAAATAATTTTATAATTTATAGCTACTTTTTTATCTATAGATATAATAGCATATATAAAAAATATTTGATCAGTTATGAGCAATTGTAAATTGAGGAAAAATGATGAGAAGTTTGATAATATTGTTGGTAAATTATTACCTACCCTTGAAGCAAAGATGTATAGTCAGCTACCAACAAATGGAGATGTTGTACGCCATTATCTTTATCTTACAAGATTTGAATTGAAATTAACTGGTAAAAAAGAAGTTGCATCTGTAGTTTGGGAAAAAGTTTATGTTTTTTGGAAAATGGCAGGAATTCCAATAAAACAGAAGAAAGATATTGTCAGAATGATACTACATCTGATTCATCTTAGAGAGAACTTGATTAAAAATGCAAAAAAAAAATGTTATGCAGCTCAACTTCTGAGTTTTACTAATAAACTATCATTATTGTTTGATATTGCAGCATCAAATGCCGAAAATTTGATAAGAAAAGATACCTTGCGTAGTATCAATAGTCAGATCTCAGATATAGACTTTCTCTCAGATCAACGTCACTTAAAAAAGCAATTTTTGGGCCCATTAGACAAGAGTTATGCTATGAAAGTGAAAAGAATGGAGGAAAAAGAGAAAAATAAAATCAAGGCTATTGAAAAAGAGAAATCTAGAAAAGAAAACATAAAAGAAAAAAGCTTCAATGTATTGGCAGCATTTGATAATGAAGGCAAAACTCATAATAAAAATGAAGAAAGTACTATTGCTAGACAGAAAAAAAAAATCAAGATATTAGAAAACCCTAAAGTTTCCTTAATGGCTGATAGGTTGAATCTATCCAACAGAGAAAGATCTGGAATCATTTTAGCTGTAGCTGAAGCATTAGGTCACAATTTAGATGAAATATCTATCTCAAAAAGCACAGCGTACAGATCAGGTAATAAAATTCGACAGCAAGTTTCAAATGATCTTAAGAAAACATTCATTTCACCCATGTACTCTTCCATTCACTGGGATTCAAAGCTGGTATCTGAGGTCGATGGTAAAGTGGAACGTTTGGCTATTGTTGTAACAGGAAAACCAAGTGCACCTGAAGGGAAATTGTTGTGTGTATCCAGGATTCCTGATACAACTGGGCGAAGTCAGGCAACAGCTACCATAGATGCTGTAAAGACATGGAAACTGGAAAAAACACTTGTGGCAATGATTTTTGACACAACTCCATCAAATTCAGGTTGGATAAATGGTTCTGCAAAGTTAATTGAAGAACACTTTAACAAAAAGTTACTTTGGTGCGCCTGCCGACACCATATTTTTGAAAGAGTTTTGTCATCTGTTTACTTCAAAGTTTTTGGAGAATGCAGATCTCCAAATTATGAGCCATTTAGACACTTTAAAAATGAGGTATGGCCTAAGCTTTCATTAACTTCAGATACTACTTTTAGAAAAATAAAGATCGAAGAACCAGTATTAAAGACCAAAAAAGCAGAAGTAATAATTTTTTTGTCTGGTTTACTTAACCGGAAATCTCGAAAAATATTAAGAGATGATTATCGAGAATGTTGTCAACTTGCTTTGCAATTACTCAATCCAAAACAAATAAATATACAGTGGCACAAACCTGGAGCCTTCCATCATGCTAGATGGATGTGTACAATCTTGTACACATCAAAGATGTTTGCTTTGGCTGACCTGGCAGAGTATGAAGAAAGTTTTATAGAGAAATTGTCAAGGTTTTGTAAATTTACTTTACTATTTTATGTGAAAATATGGCTTACGTGCACAAGCACAGTCGATGCTCCATTTAATGACCTGGAATTCTACAAAGAAATGCTTATTTATAAAAAAATTGACAATGATGTTGCTGTTGCTGCCCTGGAAACATTTAATCGGCATCTTTGGTATTTAACTGAAGAAATGTCCCCTCTTTCATTATTTTCTGATAAGGTATCTGATCGAGATAAAACTAAAATGGCTAAAATAATTCTGAAAAATATAAAAGAAAACTGTGAACATGATATAGGCTTTCCACAATTTCCTCTTCTGAAGCAGAGTACTTGTTTGACTGATTTAATTGGACCAAAATCAAGTAACATTCTAAATTTATTCGGATATTCAAATGAGGATGGCGGTTGGTTGGTAGAATCCCCAAAGTTTTGGAAAACTAACACAAATTTTAATCACATGTTTGAGCATATCAAATCACTGAAATCTGTAAACGATACAGCAGAACGAGCTGTAAAACTAATTCAAGACTATGCAACATCTATTACAAAAGATGATGAGCAGAAAGAATTTCTTTTACGTGCAGTAGAACACCACCGAAAAGTTCTTCCTCACATAAATAAACAAGCAATTCAAAAACTTAATTTTTGAAAATATGCTTTAAAAAATCTCTTTTTTATTATACCTTTAAAATATTGTTATTTTGTTGTTATAATTTAAAAAAAATGAGATTTTGAACTTCTTAGTACTTATTCCCATTGTGCTTTAATATTGTTAACTTATACCAATCATTTCTATCCTTCTTTGTTTAATAATTGAGTATTTATCAAATTTTTTGTTTTAATTAAAAATTATAATTTATAAAATTCCTTATTTAGGCAGAAAAAAATCATACGACAAAGGTAATATTAGAAAGGATGGGGGGGGGGGGAGGGTCATAAACCAGGTGAAAATTTATTTTTAATAAATTTTCATTTTTATTTATTACAAAACTATTTGAAATTATAATAACAGTTAATTATATTGGATATAAATAATAGATATATAAAAGGAGTATATTAAGGATTGTTTTAGGGCAAAAACACATTAAAGGGGTTATGAGGGGGGAGGGGTCAAATATGAATTTTTTTTTGAAAATAACTATTGATTATGTTTTATCAAACAAAATTACACAAGAAAATTATATAAAATACGAACATAGTTGATTATCAAAAATAATTTTAGTCCTTTGTGTCATTTTTTTAGAAAAAAAACACAAAAAAAAGAGCGGCGGGGGGGTCAAATATGAAAATTTTTTGATTTTTTTTTTTTTTTTTGCTTTTAGTAAATAAAAATACATATGAAACTGTTTGAAAATCTAGAAATAGTTAAAAACTAAAAAAATTCATGTCATTTTGGGACACCCTAATATATATATATATATATATATATATATATATATATATATATATATACATACATACATACATATAACCCAACTAATACAAAACTCAACAAACTAAAATCTTTAGAATAATTTTTTATCTTTATTAATGTTTATACAGTCCTTAAAATAAAAAGAACCTAATGACTACTTAGTCATTAGGTTCTTTTGACGATTAATGATTTACTTTTAATGATTATTAAAAAAATAGTCACACTTATATTTTTTTTTGTCAACTATAGTTTTTTTTTTAATAATTTAAAAATATCATTTTCCATGTAAATGTAAACTAGTAAATGATTATGCATCAAAAAACCATT